CACTTCTCTTTCTATTTAATTGCATGTCCTCGCTGTCCAGGCTGGAATTCGCTTCGATTTTCCTTACTTTCTGAATCATGCCCCGTGTTCAACCCCACCAAATCAAGGGACACCCTACTTTTCAAGCCTGTTCTCTGCCTCCCCTTGCCTGCGTGCTTGCTCTCGCATCAGGGACTGGGAGAGAGGGCTCTTCTGCAGGCTGCCCCTGCTAAGGGGTGTCGCTGCCCGTGCGGATTCAGCTACAGACACATTGGAAATGAAGTCTTAATCCTGTCTTTGACAGGAGTGCAGCTCTTAGCTGCTCTGTACTGCAGTTTGGGAATCTCAGTTTTTAGGTGTGTTGTGATGTTTCTGCGTAAATGAAAATAACTGATGCACGTTTTTCTTTTGCTTTCTGTATTTAGTAAGGACTATAGAAATTCTGCTTCCTGAACATAAGTATTGAAGGCTTTCACCAAATGTAGGCTTCAGATCTGAACCTCTAAGTTTATTAATCGATATAAATTGTCTTACTGTTAGGATAATTCTGTAAGTAGACTACAGAGTGTGAAATGGTGTAGTTCATAGAAGAGTAAATGATTATTTTTTGGATAAGTAAAGTTTATTTAAAACAGGTTAAGATGACAGTACTTCGAACTATTATTTCCAGTGCTACTACATGTTTTCTCCAGTTCTATTATTTGAAACCAAAGAAACCGATTAAATAAAAGTAAAAGCATAAACATTTTAATTTTCAGGAGTGAGTCTGTCTAGTATGTGTTTTCTATCTAATTTTTTTCTGAGAAGGTTACAGAAAATCACCCACCATATTTATACTGAGTCAGATACATCTTAGCAATAATAAAAATTACTGCAATGACTACTTCCATACTTAATTTTTAATACAGAGTTGTATCTATAGCATTCATATGGCATGTCTGTCTAGGATAAATATTTTTAGACCTACTGTTACTGTGAGATTTTGTATAGATTTCCTATTTGCTCAGAAAAATAATCTAGAAGCTTTTAAAGGAAACTTGGAGTCAGCTGCTGGTCTGATTCTTTTTAGTGGATTGTAGTGCACCCTGTAGCTGTGTTTTGTCCAAGCTTTAAAGTGATAATTTTGATAGTGGGAACTAAGTTAAACTTTTTTTTTTAGGTACTCATATGTGATTTCATTTGAATAGTTTGGCAACACATCGTTCCCTCCAGTAAAAAATTGGACTTGACATTTAAAGTTTGTTCATTTCAGATAGGAAAGTATTCAAGTTCAGTTCGCGTGTATCATCTGCTTATATTTAAGATATATTGAGTTTTTTGTTTGCTTACTGTATTTCATGTGTTTGTCTTAATGAAGGGGTGTAGAACAATTTTTATCTAGCTTGTTATGGAAGCAAGCCCAGCTAGCTGTTTTCTTTTGCCTTTCCACACCTGTCAGGTCCATAGTGTAAACCTTAATCTATAATATTTTAAAAGTTATTTTTAAACTGTTTGCTTTTTACTATTAAATTGTATATGATCATGACTAATTGACTAACCCAGACTTTAACACTTAAGTGTTAATAAACTGCAGACAAGGTTTAAATTCCATTATATGAGGTTGGCTCTGGCATTTCTTTCCTTTCTGGATTTGCAATTATTTTACTCAGATTTTTTTTTTTTCTTTAGCCATTACATTCTGAATTATTACAAAGTATTTAATACCATTTGGAATTTCTGTTGCTTCAATGCTTGCTAAGGATAAGCTAACATCTGCATGAAAAATAATTTAATCAACAAAATATGTATGCTTGTTTGACATACACCTCTTAAAAGTCTTTGCAAACATTCCAGCACATCTCTTTCCAGTATTCACGAGGCAAGCAGGTTTCCTTCTTCTGATCCCAGGTCAATAAATGGTGTGGTACTTTGCTATAAAATATTTTTTTCTGCAGGAAAAACCCCAAAATATTTTCAGACCAGTTCATGTGCTTTGAAACTCTCGTATTCAGATGAAAAATAGCTTCACACACGATGGCTTTCTTCACGTAAAGCTCATACAACCGGCTGTGGAGCGTGTAGCTTCATGTGATGTATCACTCTTCTCATGGTGCTTGGATGGACAGTTGATTTGATTTAACACATTGCTGCTGCCTCGAGACTAATTTGCTCCCACTTAGGAGGACCTTTCCTGTTTTTTGCTCTAACTCTGCTTATGTGGTGTTACATCTCCTTGGTGATCTGATTCAGACCACTGGGCTGCAGGATTGGTTTGTTTATATTTTTTGCGGATAAGATTCCTGAGATAGTGGGCTGACCAAGGGGGTCAGGCAGGCACAACTCGGAGGCTGCATAAGCAACCGTGGAAGTTCGGGAGGTGGAGGGGAGAGAGCGCGTTCCTGAAGCATACAGTTGCAGCCAGCTGTTGAATCATTTTCTTGTCATGTTGACTACACCATTGTCCCTTGGCTAATTTTCAAGATGGTGTTATTTGAGCATGGGAGGTACTATTTTTGGGGTTCTGTTTCTTCACAACCATTTTTTTTCAAAATACACCTTTTCAGTAGCATAGGTTACTTTGTGCGTCTTCCTCGCAATATAGATAGAGCAAACACAGTGACCAGTTCAGAAGGTGACCTCAGCTGGAATTTAACTTTCCTAATTCACTGACTGCTGCTTGTATTTGCTTTTATAACAGTTACTGTAAAAGAAGCCTGTTTTCGGTTTTGGATAATATCCCTACTTTGCAAGCTTCCCCTGTGGAAGAGAGAAAACTTTGGACTCTGGTCCTCAGTTTTCATATGGATAAGCCAGTCTTTGTGGAACTAAGGTGTGACACTGGTTGTGTAAGAGCTGTAAAATATATTTGTGTAACCCCTCGAAGTCCATCATAATTATGTAACCTATTTTTGAAGTAACAACTTAAAATTGTAAGGATATTTCCAGTGGATATGTGAAGCATACTGGTATGAATTAGGTGTTTTGAAGTGCCTAGGAATGTTTTATTTCAAAGGCGATACCCAATATATATAATCCTAATTTTAAAACATTTTTTCTATTGTTTTTAAGAGTACCATCTAAAATTATTGTTTAATATTAGTTTAGAATAAAATATTTGCTCAGTGTTCTCAGCTTGTTATCTCCAGGTATAACTGGTTTCTCTAAAGATTCATCTTCTTTGTAGATTTTAGGCTGAGCAACAAGGGAAACTTTAAAATTAATAGTCCAGAAAGCTTAGTCTGGTCTGGTAGTTAACAAAATAAATCTTACTTTTTAATCTTGCCCTTCTCAGAATGGCTTTTATGTGTTGTGTCTTGTCCCGTCGTCCGTCCCCCCCCCCCCCCCCCCTTTTTTAAAATTTTTTCTTTTTTT